TGCCCAGCTTCTCCCGCCCAGATGCCCACCCCGTGGCCTGGGCAGGTCCTTGCAGCGCCTGGGGTCTCGAGTGGGACTAGAGCGAGAAGATCGCTAATGCCCTTACCCCCGCCCGGACGTCTGCTTCCTGCCGGGCACGCGATGGCCCAGCAGGACCACAGACGTTCTGGGTCGTTCCTGTGGGAGCTCGCAGGGCACACTGCACTTTGATGCCCCTGAGAAAAATGGAAAAGAAGGCCTTTTGGGAATGGGAGTCGTTGATTTACTTATTTATTTATATCATTATTTACAGGAATCCGCGCGCCTGGTCCAGGATTTGTGGCAGTTTACAGTTTATCTTTTAAAAACGGGGAAAAGTGCAGAAGTGAGCCAAAGGCAAATAAGTATAACGTCAATTAGATGAAGCCAGGAATTGTTCGTAGAGAAAAAGCATTCATGCTTTCAGTAAAACCAATATTTTTAAACCCATTGTGGTTGGAAATTTTTCTCAAGATGATTCAGTTAGCAGCCCAGACTATGCAAAACACAATTTTAACTTGTGACACCTGGAGAAGTTATGCAAGTTGAAAACAATAATTATTGCCCTCATAATAAATGGCTCCGGATTTCTATGCAATTTGTTTTCCTTTGAGCTATCATTTCCCCCAAATACAAACATTTTACATAATTGTATAAGTTTTAAATAGTCCAGAAATGAGTAATACAGAAAGTGAAAGTCCCACATTATCCAAACCTCAAGGTAATAAAGTTAAAATTTTGTAGGGTTCATTCAACGTCTCCCTTTAACTAGTTTTAAACAATTATGAAGTATTCCATACATATACACACACACACATATATATATATGTATGTAGCACACATGTAAGCTATAAAGCACAACCAGCATCTATGAACTTATCCTCCAGTTTAAGAAATAGTCTCCATTGCCAAGGAGGTCTCTATGTGCGGCTTCCTGATACACCTGCGCAACGGTGTTTTAAATCTTCGTAGAAATGGTTTCATATTGTTGATTTTTTTTTCAGCTAACACTGTGTTTTGTGATTGATCCACATTGATGTATGAGGTTGTAGTTATTCATTCAACTGTGTGAACCTATGATACATTTTCCAATGCCCTTCTCAAAGGACATTTGAGTAATTCTAGAAACACCAGGATTGGCTGCTACACATTCTTGTGTACCTTACTTGTGCATTAGTGGAAGGAGTGGAATTCCTGGAGTATGGTGTAGGTCTTTCCAATTTTACAACATGATGCCAAGGTGTAACGGCATTTTCTAATTCTATAGCAATTTTCACTTCTACCAGCAGTGTATTAGAGTTCGTGTTGTTGCACAAACTTGCGAAAACTTAATTTTGTCTAAGTTTTTTATTTTTGGCTGCCTACAGGGTGATGAAATGACACCTCATTGTGATTTTGCTTTTCTCTGATTAAAGAAGTAAAACATCTTTTCAAATATCAACATTTTGTGAAACACCTTTTTCTCTTTTCTTTTCCTTTTTTTTTTTTTTTTTGAGACGGAGTTTCGCCCTTGTTGCCTAGGCTGGAGTGCAACGGCAAGATTTCAGCTCACTACAACATCTGCTTCCCGAGTTGAAACGATTCTCCTGCCTCAGCCTTCCAAGTAGCTGATATTACAGGCGCCCGCCACCACGCCCAGCTAATTTTTTGTATTTTTGGTAGAGACAGGGTTTTGCCATGACCACAGGTGATCTACCCACCTTGGCCTACCAAAGTGCTGGGATTACAGGCATGAGCCACCGCGCCTGGCCTTTTTTCTTAACAGATTCTTATTTATATTCTTTACAAGTATTTGTATGCTAAACCTTTTTTAGTTATGTAGGTGTCAAATATCTCAATTTGTGGTTTGTTTCTATCACTACTAGGCAGAATAGAATAATGGGTCTGCATGTACAATCATGCAGCTTCGATATAAAAGGTATCTTTTAATAAACATGTTTATAATTTTATCTGTAAAATTTTTTCTTGGTCCTTTTGTTTATTGTTACTGCCTTATGGTCTTGTCTAAGAAACCCTTTTGTGCTCTAAAGTCATAGACATAGTCTCCTATATTTTCTTCTTAAAAATTTATAGTTTTGGCCGGGCGCGGTGGCTCAAGCCTGTATTCCCAGCACTTTGGGAGGCCGAGACGGGCGGATCACGAGGTCAGGAGATCGAGACCATCCTGGCTAACACGGTGAAACCCCGTCTCTACTAAAAAATACAAAAAACTAGCCGGGCGAGGTGGCGGGCGCCTGTAGTCCCAGCTACTCGGGAGGCTGAGGCAGGAGAATGGCGTACACCCGGGAGACGGAGCTTGCAGCGAGCTGAGATCCGGACACTGCACTCCAGTCTGGGTGACGGAGCAAGACTCCGTCTCAAACAAAAAAAAAAAAAAAATTATAGTTTTGCTTTTCACATTTAAGCCTTTATTCTACCAGGAATTGATTTTTGTGTATGGTGTGAGGCAGGAAACCATTTTTCTTTTTTTTCATGTCAAACACTTGTCCCAGATTCATGTATTTATAGGACCTTTCCCCTAATGATATAATGTCAGCCATCATAAATCAAGTTTACTTATGCATATATGCATACGTTTATTTATTGGCTCTTTTTTCAGTCCCATTGACCTATTTGTCTATTCCTGTGCTGATACTGTCTTGATAACTATAACCATAACTTTGTAATAAATCTTATTATTTTCTGACTATTGTTTACGTATAGAAACCTGATGCTTAATGATTTTGTATCTAAATTACCTTATTAATTTAAGTAATTTACTTTGCAGATTTTGGGGACTTTGCTGCGTAGACATTCATATCATCTGCAAATGGTGACGGTCTAGTTTCTCCCTATCTAATCCTTTTTTTTGAGAAGGGGTCTTGCTGTGTCACCCAGGCTGGAGTGCAGTGGCGCAGTCTCTGCTCACTGCAACCTCCACCTCCTGGGATCAAGTGATTCTCCTGCCTCAGCCTCCCGAGTAGCTGGGATTACTGGTGTGCGCCACCATGCCTGGCTAATTTTTATATTTTTTATAGAGATGGGGTTTTGCCACGTTAGCCAAGTGATCCAACCGCCTCGGCCTCTCAAAGTGCTGGGATTACAGGCGTGAGCCACCGTGCCCCCTGCCCTCCCTGTCTAATCCTTATATCTTTTTCTTTTGTTTTTCTTTCCTTGCTCAGATTTCCAGCACCATGTTGACTAGAAGTGATGACAGCAAGCATACTTATCTTGTTTATGATTATAAAGGGAATGCATTTGTATTTTATGATTAAGGTGTGATATTGCAGTCATTTAGATAAAACTGCTATATATTTTTTTAAGTCACCATCTCCTAATAACTCTTAAAGCATGTTTTATAAATGAATCCTCAGGGAACAGTTCTAGCTATCTCCCAAATAACTCTGTTCTTTTAAACAAAACAATCACCTTCTTATTTTTTTGCTAGAACTCTTTATTTTGGATTTACATTTACTTACTGGATTTAGTGATCCGTAACTGTGGGTCTTCAGAGTCCAAGCCTTTGTGAAATAAAATTTCATGGAACATGAAAAAAAAGATGTGGTAGTAGCTGCAGTTATACCCTTTTCAGGTTAAGGAAGTCACTTTCTATGTAGAGTTTTGGGATTTTGTTTTGTTTTTGTTTATGTATTTGTATTTGTTTTTTAATGATGAGTAAATCTTGAAGTTTACTGAATTGATTTTTCTTCATCTTACTGAGGCGTTTATCATTTTCTGCTTTAATCTGTTGAGGTGGTAAGTTACAGATTTTTCTAATAGTGAATCACTTGCATTCCTAGAAAATATTCCAAAGGATCATAGTGATTATATTTTTTAATATAATGTATTTGTTGTGCTTATATTTTTTTTTAGAAATTGGCATGTAATTTTCTTCTCTTACACACTGAAACCCCTGCCTCCAGGGTTCAGGTGATTCTTCTGCCTCAGCCTCCCGAGTAGCTGGGATTACAGGCGCATGCCACCACACCCAGCTAATTTTTGTATTTTTGGTAGAGACAAGGTTTCACCATATCTTGGCCAGGCCGATCTCGAACTTCTGACCTCGTGATACGCTGGCCTTGGCCTCCCAAAGTGCTGGCATTACAGGCGTGAGCCACCGCGCCCAGCTTTCCCTGGTTTTAGTATTAAGGTTATTCTAAGGCCGGGCACGGTGGCTCACGCCTGTCATCCCAGCACTTTGGAAGGCCAAGGCGGGCGGATCATGAGGTCAGGAGATTGAGACCATCCTGCCTAACACGGTGAAATCCCGTCTCTACTAAAAATACACACACACAAAAAAGTAGCCAGGCATGGTGGCGGGCGCCTGTAGTCCCAGCTGCTCGGGAGACTGAGGCAGGACAATGGTGTGAACCCGGGAGGCAGAGGTTGCAGTGAGCCGACATCGGGCCAATGCACTCCAACCTGGGCAACAGAGCGAGACTCCATCTCAAAAAAAAAAAAAAAAAAAAAAAGGTTATTCTAGCCTCATACCATGTATTGAGGATTCTACTTACCCGTTTCCCTTCTTTGTTAGGCTTTGTTTAAGATTGGAATTATCTGTTCCTTGAGGGTTTGTTGCACCTCACCTGCAAAACTGTCTAGACCTGCTCTTCTCTTCAAGGGAAGACTAAATTACTTGTTTAACTTCTACAATGGTTATTGCTGTATTTATCAGGTTTCCTCTCTTAAGT